CGGTAATCGCTACTCCCAAGTCGTAAAAGGGGAGCGCTTCCTAACGGCATAGACCGACGAGGCGGCCAGAAAGACCCTTAATTTACTCGTTTCTCAACTCTGATTCCGCAGCTCGCGGAAGCAGGACGAGAGCTATCGTCGGAGTTCGATGCTCGATCCGAATTGTCGCAACTTGGAACGCTTGCGTTCCAGAGTAGATAGAGAAGTCTGTCCCACAAACTTTCGGAGTCTCCGATATTAAACATGGCTCAGAGCGGGCCTCTACAGAGGTCTCCCCTTGCCCCCGAACTCATCCATCGCGCAGTGTTTTCGACGGCTTCCTCGTGGAATGGCCGCGGGGACCAATCGACGGAATCCTCCGTGAAAGCCAAATTCATTATTTCTTGACTCAGCCAGGAATTCACGGCATTTCCCGGTCCCTTCAGAGACCTCGGCCTTGCCTCACCGGACCTCCGAAGCTCTTCAGCTATCTGAAAAGCGTTCTCCGTCATGAATAAAGAGAGGCGAAAGTCCTTCCACCTCCAGTCTACCTTGAGTTCTCTATGGAGCTGGATCGGAGAGAAGAAGGCTTCGAGAGGGGAATCCAACACCGACCTCCAATTGGGGAGCCGAACCTCGGAGTTATGGCTCGACCTGGTCTGGACTCGTATTTTTGCGGCAATTCCATCCCTAGAAATCTTGAGAACCCATGGGGCGTGACCGCAAAAACCTGTGGGCTCCGCGGTCTCTAGAGCTCTCTCCCATCGAGGGCTCAGGAAACCTAATTCAAGTCGCTCCATTTACGAGGTTCCCGTGACGCAACGAGGGGTTTCTGTGGGATTCTAATCCCATGCAGGCCCAGAACCTCCTTGCGTCATTGCCCGTGAAGAATGGGGAGATTCGAACTGATCAAACTCCATCAATGAGATGTTGCCAAACGAGACATTCTGGACTTTCGGAATAGCTCAGAATATTCGTAGCTATACAAGGTATCCATCGATTCGACCCAAATAAAGTTCATCAACCGCGTTCTTGAAGCACCTTACGCTAGGAGCAAGTCGCATACATGATCCTAGCATCTCGAATATCGGGAATCTGAAGAGTCTGCGATCCTGCCTGATTCGCTTCCATCCTGTCCCCGCGGGATCTGCTTGGACTGCGAGAGTTTTGAGCGGGAAGTTCTCAAAGGTAAATAAGAGATGTTTCAGAGTCCTGATTCAATTATGCTCCGGATGCTCGCAGATCGGCGTCCGGATGACTGAGTGGACATGCGGGAGATGGCAGGGAGAATCGAATCGGGGGTCGCTGCCTGTTTCAAAACTTTTTCGGAAGCTCAAACAAATACTGGTAATTGACAAGAGCGAAGTCCCGTGAGAATCCACGAGCTCGGAGTTTGATCTTCGTACTGCCGGGGAATCTCCCACTCAGTGAGTCGCAAATCCACCCTGCTCAAATTGTTTCCATCTGCGTAAGGAAAAATGCCTGAGAAGTCGGCCATCCCAACATCCCTCCAGTTTGAGAGGACTCACTTCCTTGGAGCAGTGCTCACTACATTTCGAATTCCCGAAGCTCAATTCTCGAAGCTTTTCTTCCGAATGAGAGCTCGAACAACGCGGCTGTGTACTCATTTTCGAGAGCTGACTGAGGTTCAGAGCTGGGAAGCAGTGCCTGTTGCGTCATTTAGATCAAAAGCCCAAAGGTGGCTGTTTCCTCATCTATTAAACATACATACATGTTCAACCCATAATACATTACAGTAAAAGCTCGTTACTACGAACACGAAGGGACCGACAAAACTGGTTCGTTGTACCGAGTTTTCGCTGTAACGAATGCCGCTCAACATTATCCCTACGGCGAGCTGGCCAAAGCAGGAGGAATTCCTTGTTCGTTGTACCGAGAAGTTCGTTGTAATGGGGGTCGTTGTAACGAGCTTTTACTGTATCATCAAAATCAAATAATCCTCAATGATCATAACTTATGATCATTGATGATTATTTCTTTGGATAGTTCCTTGCGTTCCAAAATCATCTCTCCTCTGTCGACCACAGTCGGAGATGTCCTCCTTCTCAATATGACTTGTTCTGCGCTATCTGTTGCTGACACTCTTGCAGACAGTCAGCGGTTTGTATTTTTCCTGCGGACAGTGTCTCCCTATTGTGTCCTGCGATTTCTGTGGATCATTGTCCCTCGATGTTGTTGGTCATTGCGGCCCGATCGACAGGATAACGAATTTGTGGTCGCGCTCTCGACGAGAAGCAAACTCGGGGGTTTCGAATTTCCAATGGGCGGTCCCTATGGTTCTCTATGCTCCGGGCCCTCGCTGCGGCCAATGCCTCGTGGGTTCGGCGGATCCTTAGGCCTAAGTCCCTAGCCCGTCTGCAACGAAAGCGTCCAAGTTTCTTCGAATAAGAGTGCCCCGGAGATTATGAGCGAATTTTATGTCACCTCTCCCGCAAAGAATTCTGTTTGACAAGATCTCATCGCATCGTTCTCTCATCGACACTGGGCAGGGTCAGGCGTCCCGTGAATACTTGCGAGGAGGCAACGGACCTGGAAGTCGATGACTACGTAGGGTACGACGAAGGTAGGCAAACCGATGAAGGCCAGAAATGGGTGGGCCGAGTGTATTCCCCAGAGTGCCGATATTTGTGACTGTGCTCTATCCTCCCGCCAAAAATCTCTATACCTTCTATGTCGGGAATCCGCGGCACCGAAAACCTGCCGTTTCAGAACAGAACGTGCGTGAAGATTTTCGTTTGTCCTTTCCCGCCGACACCGTAGGTCACGAGTCACGACTCACCTCGAGCCCTTGCGGCTTATTTTTTGTGACCTTCGAGTTGAAGGAAACGGTCTCTCGCGGAGCGACGTTTCTCTCGTAGAAAGTTCGGAAATATTCCAGAACGACGGAGTGATGTGGGAAGGAATCTTGTCTGCCACGAAACGGGGAACCGGGGACACTCATTAGTTTGACGGGTGCGTGTGTTCCCGGATCGCGGTACAGACTCCAATACACATTGGTCTCATCTTAGTACACCCATGTCCCGCCTACACACTCAGATTGCTCATATACGACGTGATCGATGTTCGACTCGCCGAAATGATAGGCGCAACACGGGCCGGCCGGTCTAGCACCAATGACACAGACTCTCACGGTGGAACGACCAAGATGCTCAGAAATCACGACCGATAACGACCGTTGCAATCTCTGAACACTAATCGCTGTGAATCATAACCGCTTCAGCGCACCCCTATACACCCCCTTCTCGAATGGCTTCATACCGACGCGGACGGGAGAAACGGCTTTGAAGATTATTCCTTTATTTTGTGGCCTCGAGTCAGCCTTACAGCCAGTTCCTATAAGAATTCTAACCATTGCATGATAGCATTCATAGCTTCTGTTATTTATTGTGGTCAGTATGGAGCGAGACATGACGTCTCGTTGATAGAGACCAGCTGTATTCAGTAGCGTATAGGAAGCTGAGCTTCTTGTGAATTCTGATCGATCGAAGATCTCTGGGCAGCTCCAATCCCACCGGGAACGACAGTACTCCCATCCTCGACCGAGGATTCCGATTGAAGTTAGATGTTCGCAGGGTGCGCTTCTCTCTAAAAGTCGAACCTCGACGCATCTTTCCGAAGAATTAAGTTCATGGCCCCATGTTGACGAGAGCACCGTTCTCGAGCGGAAGAGTCGTCCACGAAAACAGTGTGCTTCCTATGCTACGCACATCGGGATTGTCTGTCCGTCTGCGGCACAGTTGCCGTCACGCGGGCCTAGGTGAAATTCAACCACGACGCCGGATCATCGCTAATGTCCTCGCATGAAGCAATGCTTTCATGAGACGTCGCATATTGCTGAAGAGTTCGGAGTTGAATATGTCGGGGGCTGGCAGCTCACGACGGATACTCAGTACGATGGGAAAGAGTCGCTCCTGCCCGGAAAACTGCAAATCGACGTACGCCGAGTAACGAAGGCTTCCCGAACATCCCCTCTGAGCGTCATCATATGCGAGTAACCGAAACGATAAACAAACCCCGAAATCAGAACATCAGCGGATGTTTCTCTCGCCCGGCGACGGGTATTTCACAGCCGGGACGACCCGCGATTCATCCGCCGACTTCTAGATATTTCGATATCGGTCCGGGTGCCAGATTGCGACCCGCCCCAAACAGAGAACGTCTGATTCCGAAGTAGTGCTGAATAGAGACCGCTTCCCCAGGGCTCATTCTGGAGATCGAAACCATTGTCATGGAGAATTGCCGCTTGTTTCTAGAATGGAGTGCTTTGCGGCTGTCGATTGGTTTCTTCCTCCGTTCTTCATATCTTTGCGTCGCTGGTTGCATTCAAAGTACAGATCATGATGCTAAATTTCCGGCGGCGAAGACGACTTCGGAGAAGAGTTTCGTTCGACTTCCCGAAATGACATTCATTCTTCGAATCGAAGCTCCAGACAAGTGAATTTTTTGCCGCTCCTGAGATTCATAGAAGTCGGGAAGCGAATGCCCCTTGCGTGTTTCGTCGAGAACATCCTACTGTTCCCTCAATTTTATCAGCTTCACCTATGACCGGGTAGACGCTGGCGGGTCCTAAAAAAAGGGCCAAGTTGTTATTTTTTCTTGAACCCCGTCTGGCAACACCGCTTCGTGACACGTCCCCGGCGGGCGTTTGCATTGGCTCCTCCCACACTCTTCAGACTCCTACCGCTTCGGGTATCGCATTTATGCATTCTCTCCATTCCCTCTCGATGTTTGAGAAGGGAAGATCGCTCTCACCTGTCGTTGACGCGGTCTGGAGAATGGATTATTCCGGATTCGGGATCCAATCGAGGAATGAGCGAAACCGCGATCATCAGCAGCTCGCTTCCGTCGCAAATACATGATTTTCGCATTGATAAGCGCCCTCATGGGATGAGGCATTCCAATGTGGGATTGGAATCGATAGAGTGAGCTTTCAAAATCATCCTTCTCCACTCCTATGTCCACTCATCGCATATCTCATCAGAAAATACGAAGAACTGGCCTTACGACTGTCTGTCGAGTGTTGCTCGTGATAGGACGGCGCGGCGCCTGTTCGATTCCTTAGATTTATTCAACTCATTAAATAACATTCTACATTCTACCCCCATGCTTTCGGAGAGCGTCGTCTCTTCTCTGGGTCTGAAGCTCTGAGTGGAAATTGTAGAAGCGCCGATGTCCAATAATAACTCGTCCCTGTAGTTCTCGATGCTCCTGGTCCTCGCTGCGGCTGTTGCTTCATAAGCGCGCCGTATCGCCGGGTCCACAATTCCTAAACCGTCTGAAGCAAAGGTGTCCAAGTAATTCCACAGGTGAATCCCTCGCAGATTATGAGTGAACTTAAGGTCTCCTCTACCACAGAGGATTCTCTTTGTCATATTTTCATCGCACTGTTTTCTCATTTCATCGACACTAGGCAATGGCCATTTTCCCGTGAATACTGCGAGAACCCAACGGATCTGGAAGTCGAAAACTAGGCAGGGTATGACGAAAGAGGGTAATCCGATAAGAGCCAGGGTAGGTTGAGCGATTGAGAGACACTGTCTGTAGAGATCACAAACTTCGTAGCCTTCTTTGACAGTGACGAGATCATTCAAAAATGGAACCGAAATCATGTATCCCGTGCAATAGATTATACAATCGATTTCGATGGAATCTCCTTCGAATATAACTTCGCTCCCTCGAATTCGGAGTATGTTGTCCTTCAGGACGATACGGGACGGAAGCCTCAGAGGGTCGCGAGACCGTTTAGAGAGAAAACACGCATCGGCCACGATTGATATTTCGAGGGCTATATCGATACCAGAGTAGCCAGAGCCCACAATGAGCACTCGTTTACCACGGTAAGCGTCTGCCTGCCGATAATTGTGACTGTGTTCTATCGTTCCGCTGAATGTTTCTACTCCATCTATTTCGGGGACTCGGGGTACCGAATATTTGCCATTACAAACTAGAACATGCGTGAAGAATTCTGTTTTCTTTTCTCGCCCGTCGACAACGCAGGTCACGGCCCACGTCGAATCTTCGCGGCGGACGCTCGTGACTTTCGAATTGAAGGATACGTTCCCAGAGGGAGCGACGTTTTCCTCGTAGAAATTTCGAAAATAGTCCAGCACGACAGAGTGATGAGCGAACGACTTGTCTCGTTTCGGGAATGGGAAGCCGGGGTAACCCATTATTTCGATGGGCAAATTTGTTCGCAGATCACGATACATACTTGAGTGCACATCTGTCTCTTCCGAATACACCCATGTTCCACCCACAGAGTCTGATTGTTCATATACGACGTGATCGATGCTCAACTTGTTCAAATGATAAGCACAGCCTAAGCCGGCCGCTCCGGCTCCAATGACACAGACCCTCATGGTGAAGCTTTCGAGGTCCTTGAGAGTTCAAGAACGGCCCCTCAAGTCGGAAACGCGTGCCGCCGATCCGCAATCTAATCAGCTCCGCCGCAGTTTACTCATCGTCTCCCTCACCCTCAAAGACGTGACGCCAGCTTAAAGTGGAGAGGCGGCTTAATGGGAGATAAGCCGTTCGCTTCGTCGCCTCCTGCCTACTTCGAACCTGTGTTTAGGAACAATCATCGTGTTCATACGTGTCTCCCCGTCCGGACAGAGATGCGGATGATTCGTGTCGCGCTCTCCGCTTGCTTTGACGGGAAGCGACTCGGGAACAATCTCCCTGGAGGTCTCGATGATCGCATAGACCGTGAACTGCGGGACTCCTCCGCAGGTTGCATGCTCCATTCCGAGCTCCGATTCCATTGGATCAAGGGAATCGATACGACAGGGTTTGAATCATGACACAGCATCGAGATCGCCCAATCCTCGGATTGCACACCAATCACGTATCAACTTTTCAATGCTCCCGCTATCTTCGAGATAACAATAGATCATCATCGTCGCAATTATCAGCTTGATGACCGATCCCTCACACGAAGCTTCCGAACCAAGTCCATGCGGGACGATTCCGCAAATATCGATATGCAGTCAGCGTGAGACGAGAGCGCCTCGTGCACCTGAATCCATCAGGTTGACCACGAACGGAATCGAAGAGCCAGCGCTGGACGTTGGCGGAACGTTCCTGCTCGAGGAATGAGTCGGGAGATTGAGCTTTCGAACGGACGATTCCACGTGAGGTTCCAGGATGGGTTTATGGATCGTCGGACTAGGGGGAAGACTTTGGTGGGAGACGTCAGACCTTCAAAGTCCTTCGACGAAATCCTTGCGCTTCATGGAAATTTCGTCCCCTGATGTATTATCCTTGCCCCCGAGCCGCCTATGATTGGAGCTTACTCGTGAGCAAGACGGATGAGTCGCAGCTGCCCGGCATCAGATCAATGTTCCCTTGGTATATTTGAGCGATATCGGGTCTGAGCCTGACTATGGTAATAGGGGGATAGCTTGACGACGAGGACCAACAGCTCTATCATTCCAGGTATGCTATAATGGGGGAGCGCTCTCGGACAATTTCCGACTAATCCACTCATCCTCATTCGTCTATCCGGTGTCGCGCCTTTCGAGTCGCTACAGGAATTCATCCACTTCATTGCCGAGTGGTCTTTCGGAGACTACATGCTTTTTATGGCGCTGAGCTTGACTGCGGAGCTTTGCTGCACGAGGAAGAGATAAGAGTTCTTCCGCTCCCAAAACCGAGAAGGGTGCGACCCGTTTCCGTCGTCGAGGAAACACGTTGGAGTGAATCTCCCAGTTGAAGCGAGCACCCATTACGCAGGAATTAGGTCGCGACTCTGCATGGCTTAATTGGGGATCTTGTGCTCGGCGACTTCTGGTTTTGGGAGCACAGGGGCATTCCTTTTCTAGGAATCGCAACAGACTTGTTCCTTTCAGGATGTAAGTGCTCTCGATCTCTTGGTGAATCGAAGACTCCGCGGAGGCCCTCCGCAGCGAGTTCAAGATGAGATTGATTCGAATAACTCCCAATCGTTTTGATTCCCTTAGGCTAATGACGAAATCCGAGCTCGCATCAGAGCTTCGATGCAAAAAAAATTGCTCCGGATTTCTTATTCGCCAGTAGGCCTTCGCCCTGCTCACATACATCGGGGACCCTCAATCGAAACGAAGAGCCGAATTTTTCCAATCACCTATATCGTTCCAAATGCAGGAGAATATTCTCGAGCTCGGCCGCTCGAATCACAGCGAGAGTCATGGGATGTCGTCGATTGTTCAGTTATCAGGTGATCAGTAATCACATTATCACACTGGAAGAAGGGCCGCCACGATTATTCGCGACGATGAGGCCGCCGAGTAAGAGCCGGAATATATTTGAGGCGAGCCTGTACGGCCCTCCGAATTCCCTGCATCTCGATTCCACTGTTCAGCTCGGTGCCCCATGTTCCGTCAGTATGAGTTCAGGAATCTCGTGGTCCGGGTGCGCCTTTTCAGCGGCTCCCAGAGAGGGCGATTGCAGCGATGGAAGTCGTGACAGACGACATCAGATAAGAGCAAGAGTCTCTCTCCATTAGCAGACGCTGAAAGATCACGTCAACAAATTTCTCGCCATGAACACCACCCCCAGCTTTGGAGTGTGACTGTTTTTACGTGTAGCCCGTAGCCGGCCGTTTCTATATCTCTTCGGGAGCCGATTTTCGCAGGATATTCGTGAGCGAATGTTCCTATCACATCGGTTTGTTCATACAGCTCACTGCGTGCAGAGCCTGAAGGACGCATCCATAATTCGGTGGCATGTATTATACGAAAGCCCCACCTGGACAGTCGTCAGAGCCAGACATCCGCATCGGATTCCTCACTGGAGAGCGTGAGATGAACACCGAGAATGGTCGGCAGACCGGCCATTCGAGCGTCAACAGCGGAGTTGAAGTTCTCTACGTCGATAAGGAGGCGCAACGCATTCCGGACTGGATTCTGAATAAATACGCCCTAACAGCTGAGACTGTGGACATTTCGTGGAACTGCCTCAAGACACTCAATGGAATCGATAGCCTCACAAGGTATGAGTGGCCTAGTTCCGTCCGAACTGTTCCATCGTCAATCAAAGACTCGCGGATTCGGTATGGGGACATTCTGAGACCTTACGAACTTGCGAATGATCTAGCGCCGAGCATGGAGAACCTCTGTCTCTTGAGCAAGACTCAGTTCACCTGTCGGGCTGCTGAGAATAACTGAAACGTTAAATCCAGAATCATTATAACCTGAACACACCGGGAATCTTTTCCTCGACGAAGACGTTCCGGCTCGCAGTACTAATTCCATTGTCTTTCCGAGTCACAACTCGCCTCGAGAATATCTTGTCAAAAGGATTTCGGTGTCTCTCGAGGTTTCGACAGACCTTGTGGAAGCCATGAGATTCCTTTGCGATCTTTGGAAGGTCCAGAAGAGAAATTTCAAGCGTGCTGGGCTCTCAGTTTCACGCCGCCCGGAAGCGACGCACGACATTTTCGGTCGGATGTTCGAAGTAGTTGAGTAGAGGCTTCCCTTCCGGAAACCCCACCCGGTGGACCTTCTGAATTATTTCAACTCCGCTGGAACCGACAAGGCCAAAATCGTATTCTTACGCAAACTCACTCGGGATGCCAGCCGTGAACTCTTGTCTCCTCGTCTCGAAGACCCGATTGTCGAGATGATTGAGTAATTACAGAGCCGCCCCGATGCCGCTTCAGCGGCAGGTCATGCCCCCGGAAGAGATCTCCGTGAGAGAGGTTCTGGACTGCTTGCTGCGAGGCGGGATACAGGGGTCCGGACCTCGATTCGTGTGCGTGGGCTTGCATCACGGCATCGATTCGTCTCTGATTGAAGCCGAGAATCTCGAGCGTACTCGCCGAGACGAGCTCTACTTTGGACGATTCGAGATTGGCGGATCCACTTCGACGGCAGGTCCGGAGGAAGGCAAGAGCCCAAGAGTCGACGGCTGGTGTGTTATAGAGGAGTATTCATGATCGCAAGCTCCGCAGCCCGCAACCGTCTCCTCTCGGAATATCTGACCATGATCTATCTGTTCACGAGGACATGGCATCGGAGAAATCCTCAGAGAAATGGCTAGTTCCGCCTTCCTCCATCGGGCATTTTCATCTGAACCTCGAATCTTCATCCAGTGCTGAGGTTCCGGGTCCAGATCCGCCGAGAGGTTTGTTCTACTAATGACGATCGTCTTTCTAGACTGCGCCACCTTATATTGGACAACAATGACCTGAAGGACCCTGATATATTCGATAGCGTCTTCTGCGGATCCCTGCAGACTCTGTCTCTGAATAAAAATCAGTTCCCCGACATCACCAAGCTCATGTCGGCCATCAATCAAGCGTTCCCGAGGCTGAGGCATTTGAGTTTGTTGGGTGAGTTTCCAGCGCGCGATTTTCGCTGACTACAACTAAGGTCAGTGGAAGAAACAATTCCTCTGCGCTGAGGGGTTTTGAAGGATAAGCCCGCGTGACGGAGCTGAAATCATCCTTCTCTTAGTCGAATCTCCGCAGATTCATGATGGAGCCTGACCCTGGCCATCTCTTGGCAGACGCTTGACCCATTTACTGATGTGTTGTTTCCCGCAGGAAATCCTTGCTGTCCTGATCGATTGACCCGGCCTCAGGAACAGGATCAAGAGGATTATACCGGCTACCGTTTGTACGTCATCTCTCAACTCTCGTTCCTCGACTTCCTTGACAGCAGCGAGATCTCGCCGCAAGAGAGGAACCGTGCGCGTCAAATCGGAAGGTTCCAAGTGGTGAGGGTTCCCCCGTTCTAAGTACGCAAAACTACGTTCTCCCCGACGTTGGGAGCGGGGAAGCTTTGGAAGGAAAACAAGTTTTCTGATGCAGGGTTGTTCTTATATATTTCAGGTGGCTAAACCGCGCTTGGGACCGTATCGGTCGCCGAACGAGGACGAATTACCGAGCGGCCTACATCCACTACCGGCGGGCACCCGAGAGGGCCAGGGCCGACCAGCTTACGGCACCAGAAAATACCGCTACTTGGGGAACCATTCCGAAGGAAATCGCTTCATAAAAGACACACAGCTCTGATCACGTCCAGCTCCGCTCTTGAGTCCGTTTCAGGCGATTTCCCCGGAGCATTTTTCCCAAAAGTTCTAGTCGCTATCCGTGGTAGCATGTACATATACTTGATCGATGATTCTCGCAGCGTCCAGAGCTATGTTGCTCGTCTGAACGTGAACAATTCAATCAATCACACGGCCAGCCCGACCATGAGACCGAAACTATGTTTCGCCGGCGGTGATTCGACACCCTTTTCCCAAAAAACCTCTCAACGATCGGGGTTCGGATTTCATGTTTCCACCCGGATCCTACGAGATGCTCCGCGAGTCGCTGCCGCTTCCGATATGCACGCCATCTCGAGCTCCCCAAGCTAAGTTGCACAGGACTCGAGGCATACCGTCTCATGAGCTCGCCGAAGTAACGGCCTCCATGAGCTCCTCCATTCGGGAGAATGGGTCCGCAAACGGAATCGCATTGTGGCGGGATCGAGATGCGGTCACGGGATATCGGGGGGTCGCCGCTCGACGATCAGAACATGCTGACAGAATTCTGGTTAGGCCCACATGGCCCACAGACGTCGTTAAACTTCGCTCTGCATGAGCTTGTATTTTTTTCGTATGGATAATTGCAATCTCGAGTCGAATTGCAGACTGCGTATTATGCATAATCGGATTCGAGTACTTAAAATAAGTCGTAAGACGCACGAGATAAGGTTCGAATAGGGGGCAAAATGAATTTCGGAAGGGTTACATGGCTCTTGATTTTTTACTAGGTATCTTGTATACATACGTCTCCCTGATTTGCTCTCACAGACTGCATAGAAGCCTCTGAACGACTGCGCCTTTTCTCTTGATCGGGCGCTCGCTCAGATTCCTCCCTTCATGCATGGGATCCGCATCTTATCCAATCATCGAGTCGACGCCTGTATAATCCGGACATTCGATGATCGCCGGGAGTCTCACCCTCGATCGCTACCTCTCCCGGTCCCCCTCCTGAGTGAAGGTGAAGGAGCGCTGCTTCAGGATGATATCCGCAAGTTCTCGCGGCGGCATTCGGCCGCGGTTCCCACGGCATTATCACATCCGACAGCATAATTTTGATCCTGGCTCTCCGCCTGACGATGCACGGACCTTGTTCTAGGACGAATTCCGCGAGCCTGAGACTCAACTCACGTAGGAGGTGATGCGTCGAAAATTCAAGCTCACTCGGAAGCGTCTCTAGGACTGTGATCGACCGGTTAGGGAAATCATAAACTCCTTGATTCCACAAACGGATATGCGAGGGTCTCAGGTTGCTGGTTCCCGATCGAGGAAGCAGGAAAGCATCGCTCCTAGGTCTGGAGTTCTGGTCTGCAATTATTGGCGTTCCGACTTGAGGTATCAGATATCAGATCGAGTCGCGAGCCCCTCCACCGGCCTCATTGGCTAGAACCGCTGCAGTCCTCTTGATGGCTCCTCAGGAATTGGTCGTCCTCGCGATCCAGAGGCGTAGCGAATACTGATATTTGCCGGGGTACTCTCCGCTCTGTGTACGATCGACGTCGATGCGGCCCGGGGAATCGTCTCAAGTCGCATGTCGATAAGTGAGCCGGACATGCTCAGCTCCGACCGGCACTGGAAATTACTGGCGAGAAATACTTTCAACACTTCCTTTGCTTATGTCGGGATCGATGCGATAACTCAACATTGATCTCACTGCGGAAGACTCGGAGGCCGTTCATCTTTGGATCAGGCTATCCAACACGCTGGTCAAGTATAATAGGGTTCAATCCCACGAAGCATAGTTCGACGAAGAATTCTATCTTGATAAGGCAATTCCGATTCGAAAAATCTGATACTCTCGGATTTTCGCTCTCATCTTCCATATTTCCCTAGATGTCGCACACAGTCAGTCGAATATCTGGCGAAACTCGCCGAGGGAGTCCGCGTCACACGCCGACTGGAAATTCGATGGAGTGTGCTCCGACAGAAATGAGGACGTCCTTATTCAAGGTGTTCGATTGTGTTTTGCGTAGATTTTCAGCAAGGGCCGGGGGAGCTGACGTCGTTCTTTGTTATCCTCGTCGGTCCTTACAGCGGCGATTCCGCGGAAAGCAATTTCATGCTTTGTCGGGCGGTGCCCTTTGCAGACAATCATTTCCACAGCTTCATTCGAGCCCCTGTTCTGGAGCTTGAATTGGGTTTGGTTTGATTCCCACTGCAGCATCGGATTCTGTTGGATGAGCGACCTCTTGGAGCGCCCTTCACGAAAGTCCCTGAAGGAGATTCGATTCGAGAGGGAAAACTCATAGTTAGAAACTATTCCGTTCTCGAGCAGAGCACGGGAGCTATTCCAGCTTTCCCCCTCCCTCCCTGGGAACTCACGGGGGTAACGAGAATTAACGCCTCTCCTAGCGTTCAAGCACCTGTTTTGATTCTGTGAAAGAGCTTCGACGCGACTTGGCCGGCGCGGCGTCTTCTGAAGCGGAGCAGTGAAGGAATGTTCCGAAAAAGCCTTTAGGCTGATCAAAATTACGTGCGAGCTCGCTGACGAGGAGGGATGGGGAAACATAGACACTGAGCGCGGATATCGGGAGATCCTCCGACGAATCGAGAGGAGATCGGAATATTGAAAAAACCGAATCGTCACAACACATTGAGTGATATCGGGGCCGCGATCCTCTTCGACTGTCCCTCTCAGGTCTCAATCCCAGCGCCGCGCCGTCTGATTCGATCGTTCGTTTATTCATTTCTGGCAGACTATAATGTCGTGGTGCTGGAATGAAAAACAATGAAAGTGCTCTCCGTCGGAACAGCTGACGGAAGCGCATGGGGAGGAAGGGAATGTTCACATGTGGTTCGCCTCTTCAACGGTGACGCTCTCCATGCCCGCGCTGTAATGAGCTCCCGATCTGGCTGGTTTCTCAATCGTCATGACAGAGGGAGCTCGGCGTTTTTCCTTCACCATCTTCACCACAACCCCGACCAAGATAATGCTGAGCACGGCCAGGACGATCAAGCCGACGATCATGGCCCATAACGCGGCTCCAGCAGCCTTCAGCGATCCGTCCATCTCTTTTTCTCGTTCCAGAGCTCGGTTTTCAACCTCGAGCTTGTTCATCGCGGACGCCGTAGTGATAACGGGACCCCACAACGAGAGTTCTCTGTACCGATAAGGATCGGTGACGTCCAATCCACTACCAGAGGTGGCGACGGTCTGCTGTCCTTTGTACCCTCTCTCTGTATCGGATGAGATGGGTGCCTCGCAATTATCAGGATCCAGGAGACACTTCAAGCCTTTCGTGATTATCGCGGCATTCTTGGAGACAACACCCAGAACCTCGCGCGAATTCTTGTCGTCATTCCTGACAGCAACAGGAACTTTCTTGCACCCGACGAAAAGGAGCATGTCATCTAGAGTAGAACCATATCGACCTTCCAATTGGTCTACTTTGGTGTTCTTGAGCTTGGCAGCGAAACTCGGGGCAGCTTCGTTCTTGAGACCTCCGTTTCGAGGGTCGAGGAGGAGATAGGATTCGACTTTCGTCGCATCTCCATACTGCTGGATTTGCCTGGTCGCCAAGCCGTGAACGGGATACCCCACGCTGAAGTCGGTCAGCAGGTCGATGAACTTGCTCGGATCTTTCTCGATATCTTTCTTCACACCCGGCTTCTTAAAGTATTGATTGAAGATATGATTGGCCACCGTTTCTGCCGTCCGCTCGCCGTACATGTCGAGAAACTTCCCGATGTACTTGATGTCGTCGTCTTCTTTCGAAGCTCTGACCTTGTTCCGAGCGAACAGGTTCAAACCTCCGAGGGCCGGATAGCTGTGGATGATGACTTCCATTTTGCCGGTTCGCTTCTCCCGCATCAGGTCTTCCACAGGAGCGCCGATGAAGGCGTCGGACGACTTTGATTCGGAAGTATCCGCGTCGACGACACTGGCAAAACGTAGGGCGGGCTCGGCTCTGGCGTGCTTCAGCAGGTCTTCCTTCGGGTGCTTGAGCAAGCATTTCGCAACAGCTTTCATCGATGAGTTGTCGCACTTCAGTCTGCTCGCCAACGTCATAGTCGAAGTCACGGCATCGGGGGTTACGGCTCCCGGGGAGAGGGCGTTCCCTCCGGACAGGAGAACTCGTTTGAAAAACTCGCGCGATATTGGGTTAAGCATGTGCAGGTGCAACGCCACCGCTCCAGTATCGAAGCCGAGCGCTATGAATTCGTTGTTCACTTTCAGGGCAGATGCATGATCTCTCAGAAACTTGAAGGCCATTTGTTGATCCCAGAGACCCAGGTTCGCTGGCATCAGCTCATCCTGGAGAGTCATGAAACCGAAAACACCGGTGCGGTAATGCACGACTGCCAGCACATACGACTCAGTTTCACCAGGAGAATTTTCCGGACTAAGGAAACCTGCCAATGAAGTTTCGAAATCCATTCCTTCCAACAGGACGACCAGATTGCGAGTTTGGGCTTGGTTCCGATCCCGAGGAAAGTATAGATCCACGACCAAACAGTTTTCCACTCCGATCGTATCGCCCGTGAATGGGTCGGTTTGAGCGCAATGGACAGTGTCTTCTTTTTTCTCGTGGTATTCCTTCCGTGAAGTCTCGTCGAGAGCTTGCGGTCTCTCGAATCTGGAAGCGGTGGCGTAAGGTATTCCTCGGATAGCACACATGTCTTCGATGGGGCAATTTTTCGGACAGGTCCCTCCGGACAGGATCACTCGCTGCAGAGAACACTCGGCCTTGTATTCGACGCCATCTACAGTCAGGACGAAATTTTCTGCCGACCACGAGACACTTGGAAGACCGACTCCGATAACCAGGGCCAGAAAAAACATGTCTAGAGCTGGCGTATGACTACAAGTCGAAACTGAGCAGCGAATCTCTTTATATAGCGAGGGCAGCTTGTAAAAACTGATTCTGATGGGAAAATGCCTGTGGGAAAAATTATTCGGCTGAGCGCCCGTTTCCTTTCGAAACGAGAGCTGACCATCAGCCTATTATTTCGTGGCAACGCTCTTGCTGGTTCTAGGAAAAGTTCGTCGAGTGCCGCGATAACTTATTTCGCGCTGGCTCGGACTGACGCATCCCACCGACCGCAGCAGAGGAAGGCGAGAGTCGATTAATTGTCGCTACCCCTTCGGTTCGAGAGCTGTATGGGATTCGCGCTCCTCGAGTTCCGGCCTCGGATCTATTTTTCTTCTGAATCGGCGAGAGTATACGCCGGAAATATCGGGATCGATGCGAATTATCGTCCCCTAATTTAGACTCTCGAGGAGGATTCGTGCCTCTCGCGACCAAGGGACTCGAATGCTCCATTAGAATGGAGAGCTACGGGACATCGATTCGATGAAAATGTTCGATGTCATTGAACTCATTTCCCTTGTCCGATCGGGTAATCGGGTAATGTCCCCACAAAATTCAATTCAATTGCCTGATCGCGTGTCCCGCTTAGCCCACCACTGACCGAAAGTACCGATGAGTTTATCCAAGGCATGAATCAATCGATGAGCGATACCGGCGGCAATACAATCCTTTCCGATGGACAATATGATACGAACAGGATAGAAGATTCCGAGATTCCGAAGAAAAAACACTTTTGCACGGCGACGCCTTGCTGCTGCCTACTGCGGTCTCCACAGTCAACACGTATAGATTGTTCTCTTGAGTCGAGTATTGATCGCTCGGTATGAGTCCACGCTGACTTCCAAACCTCTCTGGATATCACCGTCACGTCCGAGGATAATGCCCTCGATTCTCGTCTCTGGCTACCCGTCCGCCGGTTCTGACGAATCCCGATCTGGATTTCATGGGTGAAAGAGGCGACTCCGGCACCTAGGTCAGAAGTTTTCTGTTCCAGCTACGGTCTACACCGAGAATAACCGACGATGATGACGCCATGTGCATAGCTGTGCCCTTAGTAGAGTTCCGCAGGTCCGTACCGCGATCGTAAACTGTGTCATGTGTCATTCAGGGCGTGCCTAACGGATGACGTTTTTCCAGGCGAACCGACGCGACGGACGGAGCGATCTACGAACGAAGCAATCGCTCGCGGATTAGATCCACTCTACGCATCAATTACAAAGACTTGTTTGCTGTTCTCACCTCTGGCTGAAAATATCCGTCCGAGTGGCTCAACGTTGAATAACGAGACTCTCACACGCATCGTCAGTGTTACGCTTCCTGCTCGGAATTTCACCGCTTCGACAGTGCGCTGTAGATCCTTCAGAAAAAAATTGTCGATCAAATACCTATCTATCCGCGAGTCCTCGTAGCCTTCTCCTTTCTCTCAGTCTTGGATCGAGGCGGATCTCTGATTCGTTTGGGGTCTTCCGCTCAATTCGACCGCGCTGCCTCGTGAATGACGCTCAATTAAATCCAGCTCTCAATCCGATCGATTCTCAAGTAGTGCTCAGGATACATCGAGCAGAGATAACTCGCGAATTCCGAGGATGAATTCGGTTTTTCCGTCCCTTGCTAAGGGTCAGTCTTCAACTGTCAATCCGATCCCTCAGCCTGTGCCAGATTCCAGAAGAGCTCGTGAATAATTCCACGTCTCCCCATCCTGCTCCGAGTCCAATTACGGCACCGAGCTTCTGATTTCTTCGTTCCGAATTCATGACCCGTTTCGTGGATCGGGGCTCGAATCAAAGTTACCGGAGATGAGATCGTGCTGATTTTCCCGGGAGACCGAATGGAATTGCGGCGAATGAGACAGCTCTATGGACATATAATTGAGATTGATGTATGTATAAGTTTTGGGAGCAGCGAAACCATGAATATAGACGATTATGAACATTCGCGAGGATCCTCCGATGTAAAAGCTTCCGGCTCGATACAGCTTTCTGGCGGGTGATCAGGAGGACACTCCTGAGGCGGAGAATGATCCTTCTGGAATAATTCATGCGCCCTGATGTGGGTCCGGGACCTCTAGCCTCGAAAACTCGAATATTTCTCAGAGGTTTCTGGGGAAACCTCGAACCTTTCATGCCAGGTTGTCAGAGGCCGACTCTGAACAGGATTTGACCGTCTCGTATCCGCCTCGGAGTATCGACGATGGTTCTCGTATATCGCGGAGCGAGATTTTTGTTGAGGGATTCAACAAATTCGCCCATCCGATTATTGAAGAACGCCCTCAGTTTCCGGGGGAGCTTCCGGAAACGAGCGAGCGCGTACCAATTCGATGCTCGTCGACAAGATTGCCAATGAAAAGGGTCCCATGGTGAGTCTGGAGGGATACAGCCAATTAATCGATTCTCCACAACAGGCATTCGCCTGGAGAATTGCTCGGGAAGGAACCAACGATAGCGATCTCATCTACACCGAAGGAATAGATCCATTTCTCGACTATATCTCCATCGAGCGAAGCGATGATAACAGTAGTTGCATTCGATATTTGCCCGATGAGCAATGAGTTGAGTGAACTTGATTGTCGCTCCTGGGATCTCTTTGCTTACTCTTCCGTATGGTATCTCTGAATCACCCTCTCGGCTCCGTCATTTCTCTCGTTTACGACTAGCTCCGGGAACTCGCAGAACCAAACTCTAATAGACTCAGCTCCCGTGGTGCCGAAGTCTCACTGAGATCGGAGGCTCCGACCGTGGCTCGATGAACCGATTGAATCGAGAACAAACCATTCCCTAAATTAAGACCCTCTATGTGCTTGAACAAAACCATTCCCCTATAGTTTATCTTTTCCATTCGGCATCAGTCCTCTCATTGCTCTCTATCGCGACAAGCTTGCCGCTTTTTCCCTGATTCAAGTCGATGATCGAGGAGAGATAAATGATTTCGGGGAAATCGATCCGAACGCCTTCTTTGAATTTATACTAAGCTCATCGTCAATGAGCAACGGACTCTTTCAATGGTCCGCATGCCAGCCAGGGTGTCGTATGATTCACCGCCGATTGTCTTACAGCGGCCAGCGCCCATCGAGAGTTGACGAATCGTCACCCTCTTCTTCTGTACATAACAAACCACTCGCCTATATAGACCGATCGCGCGGCGAGCGGCTTTCCATTCGACGCCGAACTCCCGACGGGAATGTCTCCCAGTGACGTTGCAGTGACGGTGCTCTGCGCCGTCTTGGCGCTGGCTTCTGGCCAGACGAGGAGGCTCACGTTCAACGGTGTGGACTACAGCAGCCAAGAGCTCAGGCTCAACAACAACGTGAAAATTCAGGCGTTCTTCGGGATTCCCTACGCCCGGCAGCCCTTCGGACGTTTCCGTTTCACGAGACCCGAGCCGCTGACGAAACTGAACGACTGGCAGCTCACCGACGACGAGCTTCGACGTCACTACAAAACTCCGCCGACCCAAGCGCGGTCTTGTCCTCAGATCGATCCTTTCGGAGGCAACTTCGATAGCTCACAGAGTATCGAAGACTGTCTCCGTGTGGATCTGTACATACTGGACGAAGTGTTCCAGGAGCAACGATCCTACGACAGGAAGTATGGAATGGGCATTCTCGTCGAAGGTTTCGAATTCAAGTCCAGCGTGGCGAGCCACTTGGATTTGGCAGGCGGAGGCTTCAAAGGTCAGAGCGACGTGGGTGTCCTCGCCGTGGTCCACTACAGGCTGGGCGCGCTCGGGTTCCTGACCACCGAAGACGACGAGGGACCTGCCAACCTCGGGCTGTGGGACCAGAGCGAAGCTTTGAGATTCCTCAAGGAGCATGCGCTGAACGGAAACATACCCCAAGTGGATCCTCAGAGGATCAGTTTGCTGGGTTTCGGATCGGGAGGCGTATCGGCCTCGATTCACATGCTCAACCCTCTCAACAAAGCCATGTTCTCATCGGCGTTGGTCTCTGGCGGAAGCGCTCTGGGTCCGGACGCGAGCATCCGGGATGCCCGGGATCGAGCCTTCGAATTCGGTCAGCATGTCGGCTGCACCTCGAGCAGCCCGCGGAAATTGATCAACTGTTTGCGATACGTAGACCTTCAGAAACTAGTCACCACCGGAAACGAGGCCAACTTCCTCTTCGGTCCAGTCGTGGACGTGAATCACACGAGGGACGTAACGAAGGCCTACATAATGGACCATCCCCAGAGGCTGATGGAGCGCGAGAATTTCGAAAGTATCCGGAGCGTGCTCTACGGTTTCCCCGAACATGCGGCGAGCCTTCGCTACTACACGCAAGCCCTGGCCAGGGCTGCTCCTCTCAACGGTCGCACGACAGCACCGCCGGACAATTCGATCGACGAGCGAATTAAATATTATCTAAGTCCTTTCCAATCGCACGGCGACACGTCCAGAGCTCTGGCCGCGTCCGTGAAGTTCCTGTACTTCCGGAACTACACCGATGAGACTCTAATGTCCAACCAGACCCTCTTCGATTCGCTCATGATCGACGCTCTTACGGATTACCTCAGCGTAGGTCCAGTGATCAGTGCGGCTCACCTCCACGCGAGTAAAAAACTCAACGAGCAGCGATCGGGCGTTTTCATCTATTACCGCGATTCTGAGCCGGAGCTCGCGACGTTCAGCTCCAAACTCCCCGTCATGAGTTCCGCTTCGGTCAAGTACGGAACGACTATGGACGACCTACTTCAGTTCGTGGGTGTCAAGGGTATCGTGCCCTCCGATCAAGGCTCCGAGGATCGTTTGGCGCGCGTATGGACTGTCGTGCTCCAGGATTTATTCGGCAAAGTCGAAACGAGCGCCAGGGACATCGCCGGAATACAGGACTACAGGCCGATCTCTCGGTCCGAAGTGTTCTACATAACGGCTCTGCGTGGCAAGGGATCGCCTCAAGCGTCCACGATGAAGTACCGTGAACCGAACCGCATTTTTTGGTCGAAATACGTTCCAACGATCGGAACCATCCTCGACGACATAAGCAGAATGTCCCGAGATCGCAACGATAACGCGAAGCTGTATTGGAGAACGACCCTGGGAACCGCGATACCCTTGGGACTATTGGTCATTGTGTGTCTATGCCTTGGCGCTCTCTTGTGGAAGGCGCAAAGATCCGCCTCTTCGAACCTAACGAAAGTTCAATTCCATAAAGTGTCCACGAACGATCCTTGAAGCGGAGATCATGGTTCTGTAAAAAAAATCGACACTCATGGACGGAGCAGCGCGTTCCCAGCTCTTAGCAACGAATTCATCATTTACTGAGCAAGCTGCCCGTCGGAGCTCGACCGACAATCAAGCTTCCGACATGGGTCGAATACATCAATTGAAAGAGTCCGTTTTCGTTGAACGAAAGCCATTCGCGGACTCAGAGCGCGGTCGTTGTATCGAAATTCCATCGTATTGATTGAGTTTGTACAATATCGGCAAGCTCAGACTGCCATCACGAGATCTGCCATCCCTGGGGGGGGGGTTAACATGTGTTGAAATTCCCAATAATAAATAGGTTGTTCTCTCGATAGACGATCTCTTCAATAATATTCAAGTCACGGGACTCCTGGAAAAATAAAATATCTCGGTATCAGCTAAAGTCAAGCAAAGCGAGAACTCATTGAACGCTTCGGAAGAATGTGCTCTGGTTCCTGGGAAGCTCGGCGGCCGATTATCATAGATGTAGAGGAACAATATCTGCCGATCGCAAGGACGCGAACGGTGTTACTCTCTATCGCATCGTAAAGCGAAATTATTCGCGAAATTACCTCTGTGACCGCCAGTGACGGGACACTTCTCCGACAGATCACACTGCGAGCCTTAATTTATCACGGTGAAATCTCGTTACAACGGACCTCGCGGCACCGGCCAAACTCGTCCGCCGTAGCAAGAATTCGCTATAAGGAAAGACTTTCAAAATCATATCTCCATGGCGAGCCAGCCCACGAAGTGGTAGAAAAAAGTGTTCGTTGTACTGGAAATTCAACGCGACGGTCTTCATGCTATTAGATCTCACTGTTTTTCGTACGCAAAGCTCCAGAGCCTCCCCAGAATCTACTGAATCGGTGGGAGCTCATTATCCTTGGGGGAGCAGGATCGGGAGATCGAATCTCACGAAGTTTGCGCCTGTCTTGAGTGCTTTCCAGCCTTATGCCGGAGCATACGACGAATGCACGTTCGGTAGCGATGGTGTCAGATGTCTCTCGATACGTGAGCTTTTTCCGAGCAACAGAACGAAAATTTGTCGGTATAAGATTCGGACATGATACCGGAAGGTCCTCCGCGGCATGGGGCGTGCCCGATTTGTTTTTTTCTGTCCAGCCCCCGAAAGATGTTCGTGAATCATTGCACGGCGAGCTACGCGGAAAGCCTTACCAGAATGCCCGTGGAAGCATAAATACCGATGCCGAATCGAGATCGACCTTTGTTCACTTGTGGCAGAGAGAAGGAGTGATAGGGATTGAAAGCCAAGTGCAAACTCGCGCAGACATGAGAAATCGGCAGGCCGTCAATCGTGTCGCTCGCATGGAATTCAGGGAAGAGAAGTGACGAGATTCTATCCCATAGAGTGCTCTAGAAACGAATCCCAGGCAAACAACGGGCTCTTTCCCTTCATGTTATCATCAACTTATTGTCAAGGTGGAACAACGAGCCCCACGAGTGATAGGGATCGATTGAGTTGCCTTGTTCTCTATCTGGAAATCATTCGTATCCGGGAGTTCTCCGGGCTCCAGCGCGAATCGAAACCGAAGGGGAGGGAGAAACCGAGCTCGGCGGTACGCTGAGAGAGCTCTGGTTGTGAGTCACGGATAATAAGCTCCAGTTGGAATGTATTCGACTGTCGGAGACGGAAAATGACTCCTGACATTCTTCGCTCGTTCAAAGAGTACCGCGTCCCGACTGGGGATGCGAGGAAACGTTCCATCCAAAGGTGTTGGAGAGCCTTTGAGTTCCCGAATACCCTCTGCAAACGGAAGCGTTACTGAACGTTATTCGTCATGTTTTGTACTCGACTCCTCCCACGCCATGCGACCCTGAGAATCGATAAGATCGATACGGCGGCCGATAGACCGCTTCCAAGAGCAACAATCGAATGAGTGATTGAAACGACTTATACAATCTCTCTCCAGCCGATCGGAACAAATTGACTGGAATCCCGGATCGCTTCATTCCCGAAAACCACTTCTCATTGTCATTGATAGCCGAGTGAATCCATCGTTCACAGCATCGGGAAGGGGCGCGGAACTCGAGTGATGTTGATGAAGCGAAGTCGTTCTCCGACGTTCGTCTTTCGCGTTGTTGCAATGGTTTAGCGATTCCATCAATCGTTGCCTTCGACAGTCAACGCCATGGATTCCTGAGATGCATTTGCTAATGATCCTTTCGGGACACTCTAAGCCGTTCTCCTCATTCCGCGCTTCGAACGAATGGAAACCGGAACTCCTCCTACGAAACGAGTGCGGTACGCTCCATCGATCCGGCCAGCCCCCTCACCAGGTACTCTCACGACTCGTCCCGCATCGAAATCGAGTCTGCGATATCCCTGACGGAAAAACATCAACATTGAAAAGTTTCATAGCTAACATTGTTTCATAGCTACTTCTTTCTACGCTCCCCCCTCGTTCCATCAAGTGTGGCCGCGATCTCTGCGATCAGGTGGGGAGACGGTGACGACTCGTTCGATCGGGAGCTCTGTTGTCCTCTCCGCAGAGGCGTTCTCGAGCACGAAGGTTCATGTCCTGGTTGAGGGAAGCTTAACATGCTCCTGATGAGGATGGCTTTCGATGATTCACAAAAGTTCCAGTATAGATGACCATGAATAATTCAAACAGTATACGAAGATCCATTATTTCCGCGAATTTCCCGACTCGTGCTGATTTAATTCGCTCGACGAAGAATAATGACATCGTTAGACGAGTCTGCGCCATTCTGAGCAGACTGCGGGAGAAGCATGACATACAGAGGATATTCTTCCGCTGATTGGCCTGGCTCCGCCGGAGGACGGAGCGTCTGTAGTCTGTCTCCTTGAACAATTCTCAACTAGTCCCCAACCAATGTACATGAGACGATTGTCGAGTTCCTCGAGGCGTCCGAATTCGGGCCTTGACGTTCTCCGTCTGTGACGGTACAGTCTGCGTGGATACACCCGAAAATAACTCCTTGAGAGGCATGGGACTCCGCGTACCCGCGAATCTAAGTTCTCCCTGGTCTCCGAGTTGTATGAGGAGGAAAACATAACCTGTCGGCTGCCAATGAACACAGAGCACCGAGACGGGGCCCGCGGGGAAAATGATCAGGAGCAATGATCATATCATGTTGCTTAATCGGAGCATCCCGGGGGATATCAATCGACGTTTCGATGTAATGCGAATATGTATCATCGTACGCGATACCTGAGCGAGAGATCTGCGGCCACGACGAAATCCGTCGCACCGGGGGCAATTCGATGGAATGGAGTCCGGACGGTACCAACTACCCTAATGGGGACGCAATCCCCCTCCCCCTGTGCATGATATGAGCGGGAGAATCCCGAAATGTGAATAGTTTGGAATGAGATCGCGCCTTCGCTCCATTGAGTAGGGTCAGAGTCGGTTAACCGTAACCCACGGCTCGTGAGGAAATTCTCGTCGCCATGGCTTCCTGGGATTGAGACGGACTCCAAAGAACAGACGACCACGAGACAAATCATCCGAAGAAAACGCTCCCTCAGAGACAGGTCTGGAGTTCTCGCCCGCAGATTCTGGCACAGTGGACCGCGTAGAGGCTCCGGAGCGTTTTTATAGAGGTAGATTCCACTGCCTCTAGGCAGGGGATTCTCTGAATTCATATTCGAGGCCACTCTCCACAGGAACCCGGGTCGGCGGAGCTCCAGACCTAGCTCATCATTTCATTTACGGAGCGAGCCACTTTCACCAAGACCTTTCTCGAGGCCAGACGAGATGCTCCGAAGGTTGGCGGACAATCTAGACCGCTCCGGAATAGAGGGCCGAAGACACCGAAATCAATCACCGGTAGGAGCGCAGCTATGCTCCGAGTGACGCAGGCCTCGCTGCGTTAACAAAGAAATCCCGATCTGGGATCGAAGAGGTCTGCAAGGGTCGAACAAAATCAATCGGTCGAGGGAATATATCAGTCCCCTAGTAATTCCATCGATGTACCTCAGGAGAGGAAGCTCCGGATGAACCCTTTCGAACTTCAGGTTACTCCCGCCAAGTCTTCTCTCTAGGAATCCTGAGAGCTGCTGGAACAAGGAACCGTGTTTCGAAATTCAGGAAAAAAAACATTTTAGAGGTCCGAACGTCTAGAGAATCTCTCTCCTCTTGGTTTTCCTGGAGGTATACCAGACAGACTCTCGCTCACATACGCAATCGAGCTCTCTGGCGAGGCTTCGTGAGAGCTGGAGAAATAATGAAACCTTCACCCTGCATAGGTGAGCTGTTTTTATTCTCTTCGTGAGTTTTTATTATGGGAAGGATCCGTTCCTCCTGTCGTAGGTCCGGAGCTTCTCGCCGAGCCGGGGCGAGTCTCAGGCTTGACGCAATGGCCGGATAACGGCCTGGAAAGTGAAATGGGGAGTGATCGCTTATTTATCGATCTGAGGACCCAAACACGATCCATCTTCTGGGAAACGATTGCCGATAAATATGACACGATTTGCAGCAGGCTCCTCCCCACGATCGATTGTCAGCACTCATTGCATCCGTCACCGTATCCATTACACGGGATCGAATAGACTATGCAGGAAAGCGGGGACGGAGAGCTCCGCAATGAAGCTTCCTGGAAAAATTTGAATCTGCCCCCGGGATCGCGAATGCTCTCGAGACGCTTCCAAGATAGGCGCGAGGGTCGAGCCACGGCCTATCTTTCTCGCTCGAGATCCGTTGGGACCTTGCCTATCACGCCTCCGGCAGCGAGGAATCCGAAGATTATCCGCCCAGACAGCCTTATGAGCACTCCAATGACGAACACGAGAATTTGACAAGGACCGTCCAGATTCCGAAGTCTGGATGACTTCCACTCAGCTGTGCTTATGATCCTAGAGTGGCTTCTTTATATCGCCGGAAATTGACTTGACAATGAGCAATCGAGGAATCTTGGAGGATGCCCGATCAGAGAACTCTCAGCGGAGGCGCTCTCAGCGTGTCATTGGGCTCATTTGGACAGATGGAAAGACGAAGTCGGGCGAAACTGATAGTTATAATTATTGCTTCAAGAAATATCAGGCTAGGCTCACCTCCAAGTTTTTGACGGAGGGATCGATTCTGTCCTGATCAATCGTCGGAGCGCTTTCGATCTAGAATTTGAGAAGTACCCCTAGGGAGATTTGCTGCTTGGAGCCTCGTCTCCTTTCTGGCCGTTCTCATCAGTACCCGATCTCGATTAATTGCGCCTCGATACTCACGAGTTCAATCCCCAGCTTCTTGATGGCCTCATGCAACTCGGTCGCAGCCATTTTCAGCCCCTCCGGTGTTTCCTGACAAAAAGCCCGACGCAGGGTCAAAAATGTTTTCCTAACCATCTCTGCTCCCTCGCGCCTGTCGTTGCGAATGAGAAACTATCGAATGACCCACACGTTTCTGCAAGATGGCGCACATCGT